ACCCAGCAACAAACCCGCAGTTTATCATGTGACGAATGTGCTCTCGGGAAATATAAAAAACACAACAACAACAACAACAACAACAACAAATCGATCGCAAACGGTTACTGCACCGACTGCCAGCTTAACCTGTGTCGCATCTGCTTGAACCACCACAACAAGGGCAGGGCAACGACATTTCATAAGACCATCAAATTCAGGAGCATACTCAATGGAGTATTCACTAGTGTCAACAACAACAACAACAACAAAAACAACAACCAAAACAACAACCAAAATGGCGACAGCGGTTATGATAATGATGGCGAGGAAGACGATGGCGGTAATGATTTTAATGTGAATAATAATAATAATAATAATGATGATAATGATGGTTTATATATGGAAACTTCGAGGAAAAACAAAAAAATGTCCACTTCACAGCTATCGAGTTTGAACAACAGCAACAAAAAATCTTCCAACAACAAAAACAACAGCCTAACGCCCGTACCCACAACAACAACAACAACATTTGACAGATGTGAGTTCCACAGGACCCAAGATAAAAAAGTTTTTTGCAACTCTTGCAACCTTTTCATTTGCCTTCTATGCTACCGGAAGCAGCACTACAACCACGTTTGCTCCGGCGTCAACGCCGTTGTCATAGAGACGAAAAAAGTTCTGGCCGTTGATATTGAACTGATCAAGAAATGCCTGGAAACCGCCAGAATCAAAATTAGAGAAATCGAAACTGAGAAAATATCTCTGGCCTTGCAGTTAAAAATGGCCGCGGCCGCCATTTTAAAGGAGCAAGAGGTTCTTGCAAAAATGGCGGAAACAAACAGCAAAGAACTCTTGGAAGATTTGGGAACTTTGGAGCTGAAGTTGATGACGTCACTGGGGGCGGAAATAGACGACACGAACGATAAAGTGAAAGGTTTGCAGTCCATGCTGGCGGAGATAAAAGATATTAAATCATTAAAGATGGCCGACCCTGTTTGCATCAACAGAAATTTGGAAATCCACGAATCTGCTATTTCTTATTGCAACGATATTACGCCATATTTGAACAAGAAAGTCAACCGGAAACACGTGACATTCAAGTCGACCATTGATTGGTCGAAAGTGGCCAATATGAGAAAAAACATTCTCGGAGTTATAGAGGGTATACATTTTATTATGTAGTAAAATTAAACGTTCGATTGATTTAAAAATCATTATTATTCGAATTTAAATATAAAAATTATATTATATCAATTAAAATAATTATGAAATAACTAAAAAATTTGACTGATCCGTGTCAAGATGTGAGTCCGGACATGGAGCATGTGATAAGGTTGAATACGAACAACAGACGGGTCTTATGCGTTGCCAGGCTGGGAAAATATTTGTTGGTACTCTGTCAGAATTCTAACTCAATCCTTATATTTTCAGGATCATATCCCTATTCTAGGTTGGTTGGTTGGCTGGCTGGTTGGTTTGTTTGATTGGTTGGTTGGATGGTTGAATGGCTAGTTGGTTGGATGGTTTGTTTGATTGGTTGGCTGGTTGGTTGGCTTACTAATTAGTTTGGAAAAATGGTTGTTTGGTGGTTTGATTGATTGTATTTGGTCATATTTCGCTCCAGTTGTTCTTCTTCTCCTTCTTATTATTTTCGCCGCTGTTGTTATTTTTTAGATGGATCGATGATGATGACGATGATGGTGATTGATCGATTGTTATAAGTGGCTGGCTTCGTTTATTTATAGACTGTAAAAATCAAATGTTTCTATTCTTAAAAACAAAATTTCTACATGGGAATTCCCCTTCATTTAATCCCATTCCCACTAACAGGCAGAACGATTTCACGGACTCCCGTCTGAGATCTCCCCAGGACATGACGTCATCGTCAACCGGAAGTTGCGTCTACATCTGCGACAAAGCGCGCGCTACGATTTGGAAGCTAAAAATAGCTAAAAAAATTCCAGCTCAGCAGCAACAACAACTTCAGTATGATTTGTTATCGTCGCGTTACTATAGCAACAACAATCATGATAACAACAACAACAACAACGCTAACGATAATATATACAAACTCAACTACTACAACTACATATACCCTGCAATTTCGAACATCAACAACTTACTACGTAGGAATTTGTTGCTGAATAATTCGGCGCTATATAATTACGGAGGGCTCAATCTATTTCCGGTTATCGTGCCGTTGCATATGGAGGTCTGGATTCAATCCGTCTGCGATCCGTGGACCATCAATGTTGCTTATTATCGCCCAAGACGCAACAACAACAACAACAACAACAATAATAATAATAATAATAATAACAAAATGGCCAGTTATGATGGTAACGATTACGATGATAATAACGAAAATAGTGACAACAATAACAACAATAACAACAACATCGACGATGATAATGATGATGGCGATGATGACGAAGGCGATACGAAAATGAAAAAAAGAAATAAAAATATTAACAAAAATAACAATAATAATAAGGTAGAGGTAATATTAATATTTCGCGAGTACAATAAATCGAAAGTTCTGGAAATCCTTGACCAGAACGCGGTAACCATCAAAAAAATTCCACTATCCAAAAAACTGGAATTCCCCAGATTTGCCGCTATAAACAGGAGCAACAACGTCATCATCTCGCACGGATTCGTTACTAATTATGCCCTGGGAATCCCAACTCAGTCTAAAAACAGCTCGGCCAACAGCAACAACAACAACACCAACAATAACAATAATAATAAACAAGGAAGTAGTAGTAATAGTAATGACACAGATGCTGCCATTTTGAGTCGCGGGATGAAGCTGTCCATCATCTCAGGGACTGATGGAAAAATTTTGAGAACCATCATGCCATCTAGCGGGAGATTTTTTAACTTCAACTACTGTCACCATGGTGATGATGACGTCGGTGATTATGGTGGTGATGACGACGGCGATGAATACGACGATGGTATTCGGAGGGAGGTTCTATACTTAGCCACTGAGGTCTGTGATAACGATGATTGTGGGGATGGTGATGATGATGAGGGTGATGATGATGATTATAATGACGATGATGATGATGACGATGGTGATGATGATAGTAATAGCGTCCAACTGATGAAATAAATCACCACAGCTACAGTGAAAAAATTAAATCACCAAACTAAATAAAAAAAAACAAAAACGAATCAAAGATTCTATTTCCTATTTCAGAATTGCGACGACCCAGACAGCACAACCCTGATGACCTTCAACCCACGAGACCTCACCCAGATTCGAAATCAGGTCACCGTGCCGGAAGTGACGCAAGCGTGCAGAGTGATCCGTTTGAGGGAAGAAAGTGGTGAAATAAATTTGATCTTTGGTAACAAATGGGGTGTGGATGTTTTTGTAGAGGGTGAGGGCAATGAATGACTGAAGAAAGGAAGGAATAAGTAAAGGAATGAATGAATGCAACAGTAAGAGTGAGTGAGTGAAGGAAGGTGAGAGTGAAAGGGTAAATTTTTAAATGATAAACGAATGAATAAAAGGTACAATTGGTTAATGCGTTTCGTGACAAGGGAATGAATGACGGAATGGATGAATAAGTAAAAGATAAATAATTATATAAATAATAAATAAATAAATAATAAATAAATAGATAAATAATGGATAAATAAGTAAAAGAATGAATGAACGAATGAATGAACGAATGAATTAATAATTTATCAACAAATATGTATCTTTCTAATTAAAAATATTTTACACTCACTACTAAGCACTTGAACCTATCGTAACTGCACAAACTTCTCGTGTTTTTCCTTCGTGTTTTTCAATTAAAAATAATTAATTCAATTTTAATTAATTAAATTATTAGTTCATATTAGCCATTTCAAAATAAAATCAAACAATTTTGTATTCGTTTATTTATGTTCTGAATGAAAATTCATTTAAGATGAGTTGAGCATTTACAGCTGTTTGAATTCTAAATTTTAAAATGACTACTTACATATAATCTTTTATTCATTTATTCCTTCATTTATTCATCCATCCATTCATCCATCCATCCATTTATTCATGTATTAATATATAAATCTATTCAACTTTATATCCTAATTCTATATAACTCTATATAATTCTATATAACCCTATATAACTCTATATATCCATATATAACCCAATATAACTCTCTATTTATGCCTATATAAGTCTATATCATATTATATAACTCTATGGGGAAAATTGGAATGGGAATTTTCGGAAACGTCGTCATAAATGGGAATCCAGGAAGAAATCCGGAATGAGAAAAACAATTGGAGGGATTGGGAATAAGTTTCAAACCCCGCTCACTCCCAGCGCGCATTAAAGCATTATTATTTTCATGAACAATTTTGATCTATCTACAATATAATGCCAATAATGTAAAATGAAACGAAGAAACCAAGTTAAAATATAAACATTGGCAGCAGTTAATGGTTCTGGTGTAGAATTAACAAAGAGATTAATAATGAATAATAAAATAATAATAGTAAATAATAATAAAATAATAATAGTAAATAATAATAAAATAATTATACATGAATAAGCATTCAAACAAAAGTGTCCAAGCGAACGAATTCGCCGTCCTCTTCAAACTTTTGTATCTGCTGAAGTATCTGCGGTAGCTCTTGAGGTATCATAAACTCAGGTCTTTGTTGAGTGTTGTATGTTTGGTCGGGAATCATTGGCTGGGTGCTGTGTATTTGCTGGGGTATTCTTTGTGGAATATATATTTTCTGCGGGGATTGTCCGTTTTTTAGTTGAGAATTGTATATTTTCTGAGGTATAGCTTCAGTTATTCGCGGTATTGGTGGCAACTCTTGAAATTTTCTCGGTCTATTTTGAGAATATGTCGTTGTTGATGCGCTGTTGTTTGTTGTTGTTGTTCTCGCTGATGACATTGGCGAGGATGGCGATGGTGATGTCATTGATGATGACGTCATCATTAAAGACGACGATGATGGTGCTGCAATCGGGGCTAGATTCATTGGGTCTAATGTGATGTAATTGTTGTTTTGTTGTTGTTGTTGTCCATTTGTTGATAATGATAGTTGTGAGTTAATCATTTTGACATATTGTCTTTGGCGTTGTTTAAGGCTCTTTTCAAAGTCGTAATAACCCGTCGATAAGTCGTCATTGTTGTTGTTGTTGATGTTGTTGTTGATGTTACAAATAGATTTGTTAATTTTGTTGATATTACTGATGTTGTTGCTGATGTTAAATCCACTGGTATAAACTTTATTCATGTTGTTATTGGAAGTTGTCATGTTGTGTTGTTGTTTGGGAGATAAATGTTGTTGTTGTAGTTGTTGATGTTGTTGTTGTTGTTGTTGTTGTTGTGGTTGTTGATGTTGTTGTTGTTTTATTCTAAGCTTAAATGGACTTAAATGGGTATACAAATCGTAATCGTCATCGTCGCCATTATCGTTTTTTGACCGTTGTAAATTTAAAATTGGTTGCTGATGTTGTTGTTGTTGTTGTTGTTGATGTTGTTGTTGATGTTGTTGTTGTTGTTGATGTTGCTGTTGTTGATGTTGTTGTTGTTGTTGGTGTAGGTAGGGCATATGATATAAAGACTGCTGTCCGGTTCCTACTTTTATTCCGGTTCTTTTAAGGAGGCTATTAGATACACCCAGAATAATTTTATTATTATTGTTATAAATATTACTACTAGCAGTTGTAGTAGTAGCAGCAGCAGCAGCAGTAGTAGCCACAGTAGCAGTTGTAGAAGTAGTAGCAGAAGTATCTTTATTCATAATGCTAACGTTATTATTGTCCCTGAAGCTTGGATTTTTGGTATAGATGTTGTTATTGTTGTTGTTGCTGCTGCTGCTTATATTACTTTTGTTGTTACTGTTATTAATGTTATTATTGTTGTTGTTGTTTTTGTTGTTGTTGTTTATCTTCATTGGAATGTAGGTAGCGTTTGATGAACATTCAGGAATGCCGTATATATCTGCGGCCATTATTTTTGTTTTTATTATTATTGAACACACATATACACGCACACATACATATACACTCTTTCTCACTTACGCACACACATACACACACATACACACTCACACATAGACGCACATACATACACACATATACACAAACAAACACATACATACAGACAGACAAACATTCAAAAAAATGACACCTGTATTTATTTTGTTGATGACGTCAACGTTGCTTAAACTTTGACCCCGTCCACTATCTGTTATTGATGCCGTGTCGCTACTATTACTATTATCCGTCGTCGTGCTGTCCTGATGATGATGCTGCTGTTGTTGGTGTTGATGATGATGTTTGTTATGTTTCCAGGGAAATTTGGGAATTTTTCTTTTCTTGTTGCTGGTTGCAGTTGCTGGTAGTTTCGCTTTCGGATTCGCCTGCTGGTTTTGTGGTGATGATAAAAATAATGATGAAAATGATGATGATGATGAAAATGATGATGACGATTATGACGAGTTAAATATTGTTATCATCATCATTATCATCAATGTTTTCAGCATCACTTAGCAAAAAATGCTAACTTATTTACCAAACCTTGTTTATTTGTTGTTGCTGCTGCTGTAAGAGAAGTTGATGTTGTTGTTTGTCAGTTAAGAAGCCAACAACACTGATGTTGTTGTCACTAGCGCTATTTTTATTAATGTTGTTGCTGATGTTGTTGCTGATGTTGTTGCTACTTACCGGTCTGACAATCAATTCACTATCTGACAACGTCACGGAACCAGCTCTTTCGGGCCTTGTAAAATCGGTCAGTGACCCATTTAGACATGACCCAGATAAATACGGCCCATTTAAATTCGTCCCAGATAAGTAGGACCCAGTTTCTAAGGTCAAGGGCAGAGCGGAAGAAACTGAACGCGCGTTCGCAAGGTTAACTTTCTCTTTTCGTTCTGAAATTCGGCAGCAAATTATGATGACGGCGACGACCACAACGATGACGATAGCAACAACTGTGCCGCATACTACTGATGTTATTATTACCCATGTGTTGTTGTTGTTGTTGCTGTTGTTGCTGCTGTTGTTGTCTGAAACGTTGTTTGTTGTTGATGTTATGTTGTTGTTAGAGTTGGCGTGTGCTGGTGTGTTTGAATTTGTTGATGTTGTTGTTGATGTTGCTGTTGTTGGTCGTGGCTGTGGAAATGAATGTGATGCTGTTGTTGTTGTTGGTTGTTGTTCTGTTTTATCGTTAACGTATGATATAATTGATGAGGTTGATGTTGAAGTAACAGCTGCAGCTGCAGTTGCGATTGTAGTTGTAGTAGTAGTCGTTGTGAAAGCACTTTCCAAAACCTGGAAAAATATTAATAATTATAAAGAAATATCTAATAGCGAATTATAAATAGTAAAATAACTATAAATAAATATAATAAATACGCATTTATTATTTAAAAAGTTAACTTTGATAATAAATATTTTTAAAAATGAAGCCATTTAAAACCTGCAAACAGAGTTGCATGCGGTCGATGTATTTATCATCTTCTTCGTAAGCCACACTAACATTATAAGCG